GCCTGAATTTCTATTCAGTACCTCCGACTGGATGTTTTGCATATCCCCGACTTTTGATGTGATGACAGCTGATGGTGTTTATGGGGTTTATCTTTAACACACTTCTTTGTGCAAAAAATCTCAAGTTGACAAGATGGAGAGCATTTGCAAACATTAACAGCCAAAAAATATTTTTTTTTCCCCTAACCCCAAAGGAAAACCACTTGCCTTCAGAGCAAAGCCACCTTTCCCCCTGTGAATGCCTCTCATTTCAGGATGTCACAGTACCACACCACTACTGAAGGCTGAACAAAGCCAAAAAAAAAAAACTAACAGATTTTCTCAACTTTGGCAACTGCTAAAAAAATAGTGACCGTCAACAGTGGAGATTAGCTGCCAAAGACACAAACTATGAACCACAATCATTGCGCTCTGCCTCAAATCAGCCCATCCTGATCAGAGAAAGTGGTTGTTCGTTTACAGTGTGGGCGGCATGAGGTTAAGGTTGGAGCTTCCAGGAAGGTACTTTATTATCACCATGTTCCAAAACTGCTCGTTTTGACAGGACAGGAAGGGGTTGCCGAACTCATGAGGATTACTTAGACATGCATGATTCAGGCGAAATGCCATTTCAAGAATGATTTTGATGAAAGAATGTCATTATAATGAAGTTAAAAGCTTAAAAGTGTTAGTTTTGTATACTATAGGCCCTTGAAATCAATTATGAAGATCCACCTAATGGCAAATGGGGTCAGTGTTTCAAATTTTTTGAATCAGATTTGCTAGAGCTGAGATACATCTATAGCAAAGAGGATAACCAATCTAAACCTTTCCATTGTCAGTCTGTATTACAATGGTTTTTGTTCTATAAGCATGAGAACCTCAGACATTTCCAGCCACCTTTCTATCAACTCTGGCCAACTTCCCTGTGTCTGTTAAAAAATATATATATTCTCCACAACATGACACTGCCTTTACTATGGTTATCAGTGAAACTATGTCTTCATGGTAACGAAATGGTAACTTACTATTCTAAAAAAAAAAAAAAAAACATTTTGTGCATAATTGCTGTTCCCACAGCATGGATTGAGGCAGACGGCAAACGGGATCACTTTCTTTTAATGACTGACTTATTCTTGCCACTGAGGTAAGGTTTGTGGAATTACATGGCCAATTTCCTGTTGACATATTCTCCAACTTCAGCTGTGGATCTTTGCAGTTCCTCAAGAGTTACTATAGGGTATTTGTTCTCTCATCAATGTTATTCTTCGCCTGCCTTGTCAGCTGAAATGGACACAAATCTCTCTTCCCACTTTTTTTCCATTTTCAGATGATTATGTGAGTAGAGGGGTGCAAACGTCCTGAAAATATATGAATCAACATCAAATTGAAAAGGTATTGGAAATACAACAATGAGGCTGGAAAACACAAAAAAATCAGACAAGGACATCAAAACATGAAAAGAAAAGATGTTACAAGTTCCAAAAATAAATGCATGTTAATGCAATCTGCAAACTAGCTCTGCGTAAGTGCACCAGGGCACTAAGACAAGATGGACATCAACACCTGTGGGATGAACCAAAGACATTGCAATGAATTACTATCTATGGATAAATTTCTCTTCCTCATATATAAAGCCTTAAATGACTAAGCTCCAGCTTATATCAGAGATCTGATATTCTTTATGTTCCTAACAGAGCACTTTGCTCTCAATCTGCAGGTCTACTAGTGTTTCCTAAATTTCTAAAAGTAGAATAGGAAGGTGGTTATTTTAGTTATCAGGCTCCTCTCCTGGGGGACCAAGTACCTGCTTTAGTCTGTGATGCAGGTTTACTTTTTAAGCCAAGCTTAAAACTTTAATTTTTGATAAATATTTTATTTAAAATAGCTCAGGTTATGCTGAGATAGTTATGCTGCTATAGGCTTAGGCTGCTGGAGGACATAGAGACACATCTCTATTCTACCATTCTGCAGTATTTGTTAGTTTAACCTCTAACTTTACAGTATGTGCTCTCTTTCATTCTTTGAGATAAAAATGGCTCAGAGCTTGTCTGTTTAAGTGTTTTCCTTCCTAGAGCTATTTAATTATTATCTATTTATTGATTCTTCTATGATGCCAAAAGGTCACTTACATGACGCAGCATTTCCTAAAGGCACACCGCAGACTTTGTGACCTAAAGAGTTAGACACATTTTATTTTGTCATCTTGTATGCATAAGTGTAAACAAAAAGAAATTTCGTTAAGAACAGCTCTCTAGACAATTTCATTTTTTTAAAGTGCAGCCTTGATAAGTTATAATGATTAGTTGATGTATATAAGTTATTTTAAATGATTCCTCAGGGCAATATACATCTCTTGACACTGTCAATGCTACGAGTGGGGCTCCCCTCTTGGAATACCGCCTATGTAAGTTGGGAGAAGACGCACCATCGTCTGCCAGGTCACGTGACCAGGAAGAACGTATCCCTTTACGGCCGCAGGCTCTTAAATCGTCATGGAGCTCAGGCTTTTGCTCTACTATTTTTCCGCCTGCCTGACTGCTGGTCATGGCTGAGGCAAGGAAAATGTTCAAACCTTCTGGAAGGCTAAAAAGGGAAAAGGTGTAAGGAATTGTGCGCGAGGAAAAACATGTTGATCTTGCAAAGGAGTTTGTTCAGTGGCGCAGGCTGAAAGAAGAAGCCAGATGTAAAACCGATTCTCTTTTCTCAACTTTATTATTAGACTGGTGAGTTAACACTTTGCTCCTAGTATATAGTCATATATCTTTGTTATTGTTTTCTATGTTTAGTAGCAGCAAAATGTGGGCAGTGACAAGTCTAGTGCTCCTAGTGGCCAAAAGTTACACTGTGTGCCTTTAACCTGTGGTTGATTTTGTTACACCAGGCTTGTGTTTGAGTGTCACCCTTCATTTTTGATTCTGTTTTCTGGTCTAATTTTTGTGTTTACAATACTAAATTTTGTGTGATAGTCTTATTTTGGTATTTGTTTACTTTTTGAATTTTCTGTGCACCAACCATGACATGTCTACAGCTTATCAAATGTTTTAAAACCCAACTAACTTCTCCGACCTGTTAGGTACACTATTGGTTTTCATCTGAGCTAGCCTCTGAGACCTTTAAAGAACAGCTGTATTAATACTGAGAATGAATGCCGACTCTATTAGCTGACCGCGGATGGAACTTCGTTTCACTAGATTTTATTTTGGCATATCAGTGTAAAGGGGACTTAAAATAAATAGACCACATCTTACAGATGCTTATTTTCAAAACAATTTTGAAAACCTATTTATCATTTCCCCCTGTTTCATAATATACAAACGTTAAGCTGCTCTGTCAGATATAATCAATTTAACTTTGTGGTTAAGACAAAAAAAAAGGTTTATAGGATATGGCTATTTGCATAGCACTCTAAATGCATGACTGACTTGCCCTTTAAGTACTCAACTGAGCAGGCATTTCATGCAAAATATATATATTTTTGTTTTTTGAAGCCCTTGTCACACCAAAATAATAGATATGTAGACTTTAAAACTCTACTACAAATAGCAGTATGTGTATCTTACAGAAACAGGATATAAAACCACTAGATTCCACAGATCTGAAGTACATCTGATAACACAGACAGCTCTTGATCACGGTTAATTAACTCTTTAAATGTTGTGCGTGTAAAAAAGAAAAAAGAAAAGCAGAAATGAGCTGATGGAAAGATCTTTAGCAGCATGGTGTGGTTAGGGGTGATGGGGTGAGGCGTAGCCAGAAAGTTTTTATAAGGTTGGCAAGGAAACGACCAATGTAGACTGAGGGGTGGCTGAAAGTGGATAAGCACCAGAACCTCAGGGTCAATCTACCCTGTTCCAAAAGGAAAATTAACGAGCAAAACATCCATATTTTTTTTTTTAATGAAGACAAACTATACTTTCCTACAGCCTTTCCTAACAAATAGACGCATATATTTAAACATCTGTGCTTTCTAGATAAAAGCTGGTTGAAATTCTTCTATTGTCATTACTTACCTACTTTTATCCACAATCATTCTGCATAAAATTAATATTTACAAGTACTAATATCTACATAAATATATTACTTAAGTTTTTTTTTATCAAAATAGTTATGCATCTATGATTTAACTGAAAACTCTTAATTGACTTGCAGAGACACATAATTCTCTCTTTACCCCATAAAACACAAAATATAGTTCTGAAAAGTGCAGGAATTATGTACCTATCATATTTAATGTTACTATATTGATGTGCATAATTAAGCACAGTGCTTTTTGTTGTCAAGTAAGTGTTAATATATGAGAAATGTAAATGTTTTAAATATTCAACATGAGAGTTTACTGCTGCCACCGTCTGTATTAGAGGGAAAAAAATTGGTAGGGGTGGCGAATGTTTGGCTAAGGGTGGCCATGGCCACCCCTGGCCCCCCATCTAGCTCCGCCCCTGGTTATGGGGTGAATTATTCAGAGCTGGAGATGAAAGCTTATAAATTATAACCCATCTTCGAACACACACACGCGCACACACACACACACACACACAAAATGTGTAATCGCTCCAATAGAACTTTTAAAAGTAAGAGCTAAACCGTCCACGCAATCAGATTAGGAATCCTGAATTCCTCTGGGGATATTCAGCCCCGGTCACAGAGGCAGAAATACATAAAACAGGGGAGAACAGCCTGTTGCCTCCAGCAGCCCAAAACAAATCTTTTTTGGGTCAATAAAAGAGGGATAGTGTTTCTCCATCTGCCTTTATTAAGAGTTCATTGAAAGCAGAACTTAAAAGAGCTGATTAAATGATTCGTGTGAGTTTTCTGCATAAAGTTCACCGCTAACGGCTCAGTCAGCCGTTCAGTGCCCCCAGGGTTACCTAGGCAACCGTGGATTTTTTTTAAACTGGAAACCGCTCCGCTTTTATCACACCTTTGTGGGGTTATTTTATAAAGAAAACAGCTCAATTTAAGAAACTTTTTCATAAAGAAAAACACAAAGAGCCCATCAATTATTGTTATCATCTTACCGTTTGAAGCGTTAACAGGTGTTTCCACTCTGTAATCTTATTGTGTTCTTTTGTCCTCCTCGGAATGGACTCAGCAGCCCCAAACAGTTCCTAACATTTTTCTCCCAGCGGAGCAGCAGCTCAGGCGACAGAACCACAGCGGTCTGACGGTAAGCTGCAGATACGGAAGTGTTCCACTTCCGGCCAGACCTTTCACAATAAGAGTGTCAGGTTTTGTTCTCCAGGTTTATAACTTTATTTTTTTGACTTTTCCATTGCAGTTCATGCCAAGTATCAAAAACCTCTTGCGGTAAAAAGTATCAAACTTCCGTAAATTAATCATGTGACTGTTAGAAAACTTTGACGGCCCAGAGTATTGTCATCTTTTACTAGAAATATTGTTTTACATAACCGGGAAGTCCAAAACACAATGCTATTTATAGCTATAAAAAACAATAAACTGCGGGCAACAAACTATGTCAAAACTGGTTGTCATTATATATGCCATCTACATTATATCTGGATTTAAAGAGGTACAACTAAATCTGGAATAAAAAAAAAATCAACCATAGAATATGTGTAATTTATTTTACCCAGGTCTAAATCATAAGTACCATACAGTGAAAACCACATGTTCACAGAGTGATGAAAGAATATACTTTCCTCATACTCTTGCAAAAAGTAAGACTTCTGCAGTTTTCATGACCAACTTGCTAAAAGTCAGATTACTTAATTATCTTTGCTTTGTTTCTTGCTTTCTTTAAATTCTGTATTTTACACAAAATTTATTTTAAAAAAATTGGCATGGTTTCTTTTTAAGCTGCATAACTGCGATTTGAATATTTTAGGTATCCTTCTAAAAGCTTTTCTCAGAAGCAGTAATTTCCATGCATTCCTCCTGACTACTTCAAAATCAATACATAGGTGACACCAAATTATTAAAGAAAGTCCCTCATAACTTCTCGTAATAATGCCTAGGATGCTTTATTTTATGCCAGAACCAATGTAAATCAATGACACAGTGAAGCCTCCTGCTTTTTCACTGTTTCTTTGTGACTACTGGCGTAATTAATCTCTTAATCATCCCTTTCAGATGCATGCTGCCTTGCTAAATTCAGTCGAAACCTTCCAATTTATCTGAGCCAGATTGAGATGGTAGCAGTCTCAGCAGAGTTATCTAATGTTCCCTCTATCAAAAAAAAACCCTCCTCCAGCTTCTCTTGGGAAAGTCAGAGGCACTTCCAGGCATGTTAAGGGACATTTTGCCTCCAGCATGTCCTAGATTGGCCCTTGGGCCCCTTCTTGGTCATACATGTCTAGAACACTCCAGGTGGGAAGCATCTAGGGAACATCCAAAACAGCTGGTCAGGCCACCTCAGATGATTCCTCCTGACATGGGGATGAAGCAGCCCTACTCTAACCTCTCCAGCATGACCAATCTCCTTACCTTATCTTTATGGCAGTGTCTGCCCCCCCTGCTGGTGAGGCTTATTTGAGCTGCTTGTTAATGGGATCTTGTTCTTCAAGTATTGACCCAGATTTTATCACCATAGGTAAGGGTAGGAACATAGACGGTTTGGTTTAATAACAGCTTTGCCCTTTGGCTCTGCTGTCTCTTCTCCTCAATAGTCTGGTGCAGCATTCACATTACAGCGGCAGCTAGTCCTCTACTCAGTTCTCCCCTCACTTGTAAACAGGACCCTGAGATACTTGAACCCCACCACTTAAGGTACAAACTGTCCTCTGACCGGAAGAGGTCACCATTTTCTTTCTAGCCCACAGAACCACTTTATCCATAAAAAGCAGGGATACTGGTCCCCAAACCAGCCTCTCTCCTGCCTTGGACTGTGCTTAGAAGATCTTTCCATCAAAATAATGAACAGGATGTGTGACAAAGGTAATGTCTGCTGGAGTCTAAAATACTCTGTGCTGGCATGAAAATACGACTTCTGCTCTGCTTGTTCAGAGACCAGATGGCCTTACATTTGTATTCCTGGAGCGCCCCTTACAGGACAACACAAGGAAAATGGTAGAATGCCTTCCCCAGGTCCAATCTGGGTGTCCTACCCCTGATGCCTATGCAAAGTTAAAGATGTTTGTCAACGAGGGCAAATCTCATGGATGAGTGGAGGCTTTGTGGGAGTGGTGGCCTTAGGGGGAGTGGCAGCCTAGTGTTTAGGGTATAGAGTTTGGTATTCTGAGGTTCTTAGTTCGAGCCCCACTCCCAAAGACTGCCACTTTGGGGGATCTGAGCAAGACCCTTAACCCCACACTGCTCCCCAGGTGCCCCACAATGGCAGCCAACTGCTCCCCAAGGGGATGAGGTAAATCCAGAGTTAAAATTATCTAATGTGAAATCAATAAAGTTCAACTATTATTATCATCCCCTAAGCCTTGCTAATATGGAGCTTTTGGACCACCTTGGTGACTTCATCCTTGCAGATGGACAATTCTGACTGAGAACTCAGTTTCTGCTTCCACCAAGGAAGGATTGACGGTCAGGTTAAGGAGATCCTTAAAGTATTCCTTCGACTGTTCATTGCTGTCCACATTCAAGGCCAGCAGCTCCCCACCTCCACTGTAAACACTGTTAGCTGAGCACTATTTCCCCCTCTGAAGGTGCTTTAAGGCTGACCTATAGTCCTTTTCTATGACCTCTGGGAACTTCCGACAGGCCCAAACTTCTTTCTCTGTAACCACCTGGTGCTTTACTGTAACCGATTGCTGCCTCAGGAGTCAACTAAGCAAGACAGAACTCCTTGTTCAGCTTGATGGCATACCTTACTGCCGGCATCCATCACTAGGTTTGGGGATTGCAGGTGCAACAGGCTTTGTAGACCTTACAGCCACAGTTAAGAGCATGCACTGAGAATAAGTGCAGTAAGCATGGTCCACTTAGACTATATGTCCACAGTTGCCCTCAGAATCCAAGAAAAGCTTTCCTGGATCGTGGTGTGAATATCTCCCTGACCGAAGACTCACACAGACATTCACCGAGGACCCTTGCTCTTTTTTTGGGCCTCCCAAGTCTGTCTGACTCCCTCATCTTCCTGCATATCCAACTCAACACCGGGTAGTGGTTGTTGGACAGCTCCACCCCTCTTTTGATCAGAGTCCACCCAAAGATCAGAAGATATCTCTTCCACAGAGCCCTACCTCAATTTGAAGGGATGTGACAGTGTCATCCACTGTAATGAAATGGTTGAGCTTGTGGCTCCACCTGCAGGCAGTGGATCCACTGAGTGCATTTCCTTGTGCCTCTTGTTTTAGCTTGCCCAGCCAGGATTAGCCCAACTACCAGATACTCGCTGACAAACTCAAACTGGAGGCTTGGCTCAAGGGTGAGGTCCCAGCTCCATCCATATACATTAACCCTATAGATTAAGAAATGGATGACGTTGAGGTTTACTACATATAAAAGTAGACAAAATACTTTTGACAATACATTGTTTATGCTGCAGGGGAGTAAAAAAAGAAATACTAACAACATTATATAAACATATTCAACTAAAACACCACTTCAACAATTTTTCAATGAAAAACCCACACACCATGTAAAGCAATGTCATTAATTTGTTTCGTGTTAGATCACTATAAAGTAGTACAGGAAGGGGGTTGCAGATATGATCACCGTTAGTCATGCACTGAAAAAAAAAAAGCCTTAGGCCCACATGATATCGTAAATGCTGTCCCTGCATATCACCCTCTACCATTCCTGCTGTGAAACGGTAGTGGTTGAGGGGTCATACTATGGGGATGCTTTAAACTGCATAAGACTATAGATCATTGCACATGTTTACCTTTCAACACATCAACAACTTGTTTGGGTAATTATTTAAATCTAAGCTGCTTTATTATAGAGGCCTAGCAAAAGTCCAGTCCTGAGTCAATTTGAGATTATTAGCAAATATTGAAAATGGCTTCCCAGAGATGCTCCTCATATAATTTGTTCTGTCAGGTTAGATGGAGGCTTTGAGGACCCAAATGCAGAGATGAGTAGGCAGATTTGAGTTTTGCTGATTTAATTAAGGACTACAGGCAACTAAGGCAAAAAAAATCCAGAAACAAATGCTGAAATACTGAAAACCAAACAAAATCCAATAACGTCAAGGAAGGTACACCTGAGGAGCAAGAGGTAAGGAAGCAACAAATAACAAGAAACCAGCAAATAGGAACTGCAAAGGTGATGTATATATGGGAAAAAAGAGCAAAGGATGGGCTAATGAGCTGATATATCTCTATATGTATCTCTGCTCCTTTCTGTATGTCGGCTTCTGTCTCCTTGAACCCCAGTTGGCCTCGGCAGATGGCCGCTCACACTGAGCCTGGTTCTGCTGGAGGTTTCTTCCTGTTAAAAGGGAGTTTTTCCTCTCCAATGTCGCTACAAGCATGCTTGTGAGGGATTGCCTTCGAGTCAATGAGTCGATGCAATCAACTGGTTTTCCTTAGATAAAAAACTTTGAATCAATTTGACTGTATGATCTGGTGAACTGTAAATGGCCTTGAGATGACGTGTTGTGAATTGGCGCTATAGAAATAAACTGAATTGAATATGGAACAGAATAGGACAACTAGGAGGGAGCCAAGGAGAAGGAACAGGCACAAGGGGGCAACAGAGAGTAACTAAAGAAATACCAATCTGACAGAAAACAACTACAGAGAGCAGAACCCTGAGATATGATAGCTTAAGCTATAAGATGAATGAACAGGAATGCTCTCAAGATGTGTAAATCTGTTAAAGGTGTACCTCATCATTTCTGGATAACAATATTTACTAAAGGAATGAGATGTATTAAAAAAAACCCTTCTACTTTTATTTATGAAAATATTTCAAACCAGTTTTCAGCTTGACAATTTTGTGCTACTTTGTGTTGACCTTCATAAAGATATGAATACAAAAAACTGTACAATGAAGACAAATAAGTGAGGCAGCCAGTTTTCTGCTTGTTGTAGAGCCCCACTGGAACCAGAAGAGGGCAACCACTTACTGTCAGATGTTTCTGCATACTTAAAAAAAAGCAAGCATTCAATTATTCTCAGGAACCACAGGGCATTTTGCATGAACAGTATCACATTATTGAAGGGGATTCCTTTGATTCCATTAAATGTAAGTCCTCTATCTAAAATAAGAAGACAGCTAGAGAGATGCTTAAAACCTTAAAAAAAGATCAACTAAAATTATTTATTACTATTGTACAAATGCATTGAACAAACTCTTTTCCCTCACAGCTCTTCCATACAGTAGTTAAAGCTTTGTATTCTCTATAATTGACACCCAAAATTTCACAATTAAGGACCGTGTCAGTCAGGATATTTTCAAGTAAAAGATGCTTTTCCTCCTTTGGTCTGAATGAACTACACAGATACACCAGGATAAGTCTGTGATTAGACAGCGGTTACTCATTTTATCTGGAACCTACAGGGAAACTGACATGATCAGAAGTGGCTAGGAAGAAGGGAAGGAAGAAAGGAAGGAAGGGAACAGGTGGCCAAATGTGAACAGCAACATTGAAAGAGCAATGCAACAAGACTGGAGACAAATGGAAGAAAGGTGAAAAGATTAGACAAGCACAAGATGCAATAGATGAGCAAGACAAGATCTTAATAGAGCCAAGATAAGACAGGAGGAGATTAAATGAGGGAGAACAAATGGCTGTGATTAAGAATAAAAAGAAAATAACCAGAGTGGGAGAGGAGACGGATGAGAGCTTGCAGTAATAGAAAAAGAAAGGAGACAATGAGGAGCAGAAAGAGGGGCGATCAAGAGTGGGAGAAGAGACGAGGAGGTGGGCTGCCGATGACTCATCACCAGGCTAACATCCCCAGTGGGATGGGTAGCTGTGGGGGTGGCAGTGTGACACACACAGGGTTTTCTGGCCGTCACGCTGCTTCTATGTCTCCTCCTGCTGCGGAGGCGGTTGGAAGACAATACGGGGATACCACTGAGATGTAAGAGATCACAGTCGACCAGTGGCAAACGGTGCCCCTGACATAAATATGCACATAGTAATGGTAGAGCAGGAAGCCTGAGTAAGAAGGAGCAGAGTACAGCTCTGGCAAACACTCCCCTTCTTCATTCATACTTTATAAGATGGTGCATATGCAAAGAGGGGTAAAAATATAAGAGGAAGAAGAGAGGGAGACTTAAAAAAAGAAACAGGCTTGACACCTCAAACAGGGTTTTTCTTTGCTCTTCCTCCCACTGCTTAAACAGCTTTAGTATACAACCATATCTGAGCTGCTTCTGCTCAGTATATGCATGCAGAGAGCCAAGCTGATCATTGTCAACTGTCATGCACAGCACAGTGATCCAATCATAGATCACACAAGATCTCTTTGGTGCTGAGTCCATCTCAGAGTTGCCATGCCAACAGATTGGGGAGGGGGATCCTAAGTATGATCTAGGCCACTGCACACAAACACCTCAAATTCATAGATGCATGCAATCAAAGGAGCACGCATGCATAAAGTCTCCCATTGTAAAAAAAAAAAACTGTTTATTGGGAGCAGCTGCATGTGATTGTGTTTATTGTGGGGATCATCGCACTGCAGTTTTTAAAAAACCTGCACAATTGAGATAAAAAGACACATAAAAGATAAACTCAGAAAACCAGTGAAATGATGGAAACCTTTGTAGGAATCTGTATTTATTTAAAGTCTACATACATTCAGACATCTCCCAAATAGAGAAGTTGTCATTGCATGGATGTAAATCTGCATTCGCCTTTGTGAACAAAAAGAGGATGAAGTTTGGTTTGTGGATTCCAGCTGCCTTCTGCGCACCTGCATACTTATGTGCTTAGAAATTGTCACAGAGACGTAAAGATTGAGAAAAATATATGTCTGACTGCAGTGGTGCAGCATGTTGGGATTCATTCATCTGGAGTCTAAACAGGTTTAGAGATTAAGTAGATAAATGTAGAAACATTGGATTTTATTCATGTAGGTCATGTGTCGAAGAAATGTGCATGTTGTCATTGGTTAGTTAATGGTTTAATAACGTATAGTGTCTTGCAAAATTATTTATGTATTTTGTCTCATTTCAACCACAAACTTTAAAGCATTTCATTTGGGTTTTGTAGCAGACCAACAGGAAGTGTTGCACAATTTTTAATTAGAAGGGAAATGATAAATGTTCACATTTTAGTTTAGAAAAAAAATCTTGGGTCGCATTAAGCCATCTTTACTGATTCCCCTAACCAAATATCCAGTGATACATATAAACTTTAGATATCAAATTAAAAAGGCCCACCTAAAATTTTTTAAATCTTTTGCATTCAAAAATATTTACTTTGTGTTACTGTATCACATAAAAGTCTAATAAAACAATGAATTGTGTGGTTGTAAGCAGACAAAGGTTTGTGTGAAATGGGATTCAAAAAATAGCTTTTGCAAGGGACTATATGCATGTTTGAAACTGCATCTGAAAATAACATCCCTTTAGAAAATAAGAAAACAAACTTTACAGCTACCTTGAATACATCAAATGTTAGTTTATTTACTTCTATTGGTATCGTTTAAATCCCCCGTTTGTGTGGGGAAGTACCTGCATCAGAGTTCATACAACTTGTAAGTAAATATGTGATCGAGTTGGTAAAGTTCTTCTCTGTGCATAAATGCCTTCATGTTCTAATTGAAATGTTTGCATAATGCAGTTCATGAATATACAAATGTACAGACAGAATCACATATACATACATGTAATGATGGGATGTTTATTAAGCATTTATGTATCCCTGCATTGCTGTTGGTATGAACATGTTTGGTTTAGTCGCTGTCTTCTCTTTCCTGGGTCTCGGCCAAGGAGCTCTCGTCGAAATTCTCCAGGCTCTCTGCGCGCTGAATGCTAAGCTCGGAAAGTGGAATTGTGGGTAACGTGGTCTGTTCGGGGTACAGCCAGGGTTTGAAGTTGGGGCTGTGTCTCTGCTTCCACTCTGCGTACTTCAGACAGGCTTTGCTGATTTTTTTCATCGCCTATGTAGAGGACAGAAAATAAAAAGGAAGCAAGTTAAGTTTGTTAGCGTTTATGCTTCAGTTTTTGTTGTCTTCTAAAATTTTACAATAAAAATTTCTAATCACTTTTCATAATAACTTAGACTCTGTGTAAGCTGTAAAACTGAAGCTGTTAAGTCTGTCTGAAATCTTTTAGTAAAGAGCGCTTCAGTGATGGAGGAGGTGCAGATGAGCCGGAGAGAGCTCCTGAAAGGAGTCAAATTCCCAATTTTTATATGGATGAAAGACCTCCAAGGTGCCATGCACCCTTTATATGCATCTCTGCTCCTACACAACCAAAGCAAAGGCCTGAATTACACCCTCCTCCTCAGTCTGCAATCAAGTTCTCCATTTGAATTAGGTGTGTTGAGGCATAAGCATCTAAAAGGTGCAGAACACTCAACCTTGAATACTTGTGGAATTTATCCATCAAGTATCTTTACACATTCAGGAGCTTTTTCCCATTTAAAAAAGATTCTGAAGTTATCAGCTAAAATATGAAGATTCGTCTTCATATTTTAAAACTCTTTACTGATGAAAGCAGCACTAAGCCTTTCAAGGCCACTTTCTGCACAGTCTTTGCTTCCTTTCGACACACATTTTAAATCACCCCAAACGGTGAAAAACGAAGCCAACCTACATTTCAGAAATGATCTAGACAGAATGTCCTTTTTAATTCGCATTTAATTCCCAGTGTGACAGCTTGTGTGCTGTGAGGGTACGGTCAAGACTACGCATAACGGCATGGAAAAAAAACACAAAAGACACACAGGATCTGTGGTAATATGTGCAAAACTTACACGGGGAGCCAGGAAGTGAGAGGACTTGTTGACAACCCACTTGGGTAATGAACCTGTAAAAAATAAAAATAAAAAAAATAAGGAGGGAGAGGGAAAAGGCTGAATTCAACAAGGAAGAGGATGACGAGGGCCTCTGGGGCATGAAAGAGGGATTTTAGATTTGCTTTTATTACATTACGCATCAAATACATCAAAGGGAGGCTTAGCAACTTGGTACCTGCACAAACACACTAAAGATAGGTCATCCCTGAGAATACAAAATAACTATTAGATCAAAATATCTGAACAGAGAAACAGCAGGACATAAAAACAGAAGGATCAAACCACTGAATGTCTGTGATATGGTTACCAGGACGACTCATTTTAACATAAAGGTAGATAAATGAATAATTTATGCAGAATGCATTAAGCACCTGGAAGAGGGAGCCTCTATATTTCCATCCTTATGTGCTGCATGTGCACACTATTTTGCAATGTTGTTTGTTGCATTGCTGCAGAATGTGTGTATTATTTACCTCGCGGATCTACCTGCGCCATGTAAGTGAGGGTACAGTTGCTTGGTCCCTGGCTCTGAATCATGTAGCCCGTCTGAATGGAGACTGCCCGCACCATGTCCTTTTTAGGTGGGTATTTCTGTGGAGACAACAATACCAGTGGGTGTAGAAAAAAATGCACAAAAAACTGGAGGATATAATTTACATTATCTATGAATCTAATGTGTCATCTTAAGTAATTTCCATATAATTAATGCACACGTGTATAAGAAAATAAAAGGTTTTTTAGACAAAGAATAAGGTGTCAAATGTTTGCAGCAAATGCATCAAAATCCTTTTCTTTAATTGATTCTAAATCAAAGGAACCACTTTAAGCTACACACACTGCATTGTGCTGTATAATTTTGCTGCTAACTTCTCAGGCCACAAAGCTGAGACAATTATTCATTTTAATAGCATACAGAACTGGTTAGCCAGCACTAACTGCAACAGGATCGCTGCAGAGCACTAAAACAGCACACAGAGCAGCAGGGAGCTGGAAACAGTTAGAGGAACTTTACATCAACGCTTTATCTTTCTTTCCTGCCATCTGATGCTTATTTTTGGAGTCCGTCTACTCTGCTAACAGGTTACAGTGAGGGTTTTCTTCTGGGAGAACCTTGGCAGTTCTGTTTATGAATCATCTGCAGGATGCTCACAAGTCAAGTAGCAGTATGTTCTGAGCTAATGGACTTTTAGGCTAAACTGCACTAAATGTGATGAATTTCTATGACATCCAGCACATGAGGAAACATCTTGGGCAGCTGATAGTCACATTTATTTTTGAAAACAGCTTTTTTTCTTTTGCCAAGAAAAAAAGAAAAATAAGTTCTCTCTGTTGACAAGAGAGAGATCTTACATCTAGAATCCTTTGATGACAGGTGAAAGCAAAGGAAAATAGAAAAACGTAGAAGATCATACAACAATTTAACAACCCAGAAAAATTAAACAAAGCCAAAACTGAAGACTTTTTAAATGTTTTTTGAAAACAAAAACATTTATCTCTATGTGCTGCTGAATGCCGAACAAAAACAAAGCTGAGGTCTAAAGTGGGATTCAAAGAAAAAACTAGATCATTTAAAAATCAGCCTTTTTACTGCACAGAAATGAATCTACAAGAGGAGATTTTAAATCAGCTGCAAAAATGCTAAGGTTCATTCTTAAAGAAGTCCGTAGGATGCTAAAAAGAGTCTTCAACACTGGAGAGTTTTATGGAAGGTATGTGAGGAGGACGCCTTCTAAGACAAAGAGTAAGTCTTTGTCTTAAAAGAAAACCTGTACTAGTGGGCCTGAATCTGTAGTCATTCAGTCTGACAGACTGCCGGTTTAGACCTCCCAGAGATCACTTCAGAAAGTGGCAACGTGTCAAATTGTCTGATATTTTCTAGGAAACTAGCTGTGCGACCTCTGCATGTCAGATTTTGTCCTTTTCTGCCATGACAGGCAGTTTGAAAATTGTACTCGACATTTTTCTCACAGTTGGGTTTCATTGCTCCCAAACCCAAATTCAATGCCTGACATGCTTTGGTCAAAAAACAACAGGAAACCATCACAAAACCAAGAACATGCATCCTCTTCATATTTCCATTTCCTCTTTAGCAGACTAAGAGGAGGCCTCAGAAACAAACTAACTTTCTCTCCATTCTACAAGATTCTGGTCCAGATTGTCAAAGCCGTGTCAAAACACTGAGATTACTATTAAAGATGAGAACCAACGCATCACATGTTGCAGTAAAATACCTGGCTGCTCTGCAAGCCAACCCTCTGATTTATTCAGGATTTTGAAGCAAACAGAGAACTTATCCATTAACCATTTAATGAAAAGATTAATTTCCTTTAAGGGTATGTTAAACGGCAAAGAATAAAAATATATATCTTTCTTGGAAAACGAACACTATTCTAAATTAGTTGTTAAATGCTATATAAATTAAGGTCACCGCAAGTTATTACTTGTATTTTAGAGGAGTCGCTGCGACGTCAAAGCTGAGAGGAAACAAAGATGAAAGAGGACGATTCTTTTCTAATGGGAATAAAAGTAATCCACTTTAACTCCAAAAACCTAACCTCCATCTTTGTCTAATTTAATTTTCCCTACTTTATCTCTTCTATATGCTTTAAACATACTAGGCTCAAATTTAGCTTTTTTAATCTACTGCATATTGATGTACTTATTAATTAAAGTAAATGACAGGCCGTACAGTGGAAAGTCTAAAGTTCAGCTGATAAGCAACACTGACCTTGGCAAATCCCACAGACCAAACATGCATGCATGGACACTGAGTCCATTATGTCTGTAAACTCTAATTGAGGCAGGAATGCGGAAGGCCAGGCGGAAGTCCATAGTTACCAGTCACATGAAATGACTTATCCTTCAGTAAACTTTGTTTTATTAAGGGAAACTGGGAATGAGACAGAGAGAGAAGAGAGGAGGGAAGCAGACGGGGAATTTCATTTAGAAAGAAATGAAGAAATGCTTTAAATGTTTTAGGTTTTTAGAAAATGTAATTTCTTTCATATAATATAGAGCACAAAATCGAGTCTGCTCTCATTTCTTTCATATTTGACTGCAGCAGCCAAACATCCACTTTGAAGTGATCTTGATCTATGGTTCTTCAGCGTTTTGAAGGTTTTCCAACAAACTTAATTTATGAGCGAGACACAGTAAATATTTTTAAAAACCTAATTGCCGACTTTTGCGACTGAAGTAAGATCCTATAACTTTGATAAACCAAATAAATACATTTTTGCTAACAGCATGCAAAACTGTGTGATTAATGCCTGTCCATCTGTATGAGGCTGCTTTAAACCAACAAACATTGTATCGCCAGTGCTGTCTTAAAGCCAAATACCAGGCCGTCTACAAAGGGAAAAGCATTTGTTAAACCCCCACACTGACTTTTGATTTATTCTGGCATCAAATAAAGCTTGAGGGCTCTGTGTTTAACTATGCTAACTTCACAGCAAATATCATATTTTAAGCTAGACAGAATAAGAAGTAAATAAATATAAAAACTGGACCCATTTCATTAACTGCCTCTCTTAATACTTATAGAAATCCCCTCGCCAGTGCAAAAAAATTCCTGGAAAGCTAACAAACATAAGAAGGTCCTGTGTTAGTTTTTTTTTAAACATAACATTATGACTGCAGACGGGTGGCATGAACACAGCTAATCACCTCTTGACAATGTGAATTGCTAATGGGTGGGATATCTTTTCTCAAAGCTTGAGTTCAAAGCAGATGGCATGGGCGCATCATTTGAGTGAGCCTGACAAGGACCAGGGTCAGATCAATGGCGTAACTATCGGTAAGCAGAGACTGCAGTTGCTTAGAGGCCCCCGACCTCTTAGGGGCCCCGTCACTGACACCTGGTTGGCCCCCTACTCCATTCTGGACTAGGACATCTCTTTGCAGGTGTAATGGTGCGAAAAATTAATCTTAAACCCACCTGTTACAAGTTTGACTGACCAGACCGTATTTATACCCCAACACATGCCAGATTTTAACATGATGGTGAGCCGTTTAAACACGACACCGACAGCAAAGCAGACAGTGGTACTTTTAATTACTATGTTAACAACTGTGTATAGTTCATTAGACGGTTTGTATAAAAATACACTCATATAATATGTTTCAAACCGCAATAAAGATGTTAAAAGAACGATGTATTTGAGTATTTTATTTTTTTACTCTACGACTTGGAATTATGGGTAATCCAGAGTGTCGATTCAAACCGTACCCGTTACGTACAATGTGTTAGCAACGATGGATACCAAAAATAGGTACTTAAGCGGATTCCAGAAAAGAAAAAGCAAAAAAGAGCTGCTGGAAGAACAGAAAAAACTATGGGGCCCACCCAGATAATGTTCCTTACAGGCCTATTGTTGTGTCATTACGCCATTGGGTCAGACCATCTCATAAACAAGCTGTCTTAGTCAGTTAATATACATGGGAACCAGTGTGAGTCAACCCATCGGGTTAGCTACTTCTGGATCTACTCATTGCAGAAAATAAAGGGATGGTAGGAAAGAAGTCAGAAAAAAACAATACGACAAAGTTTGTTGCCATCGGTACAACCAAAGACCAATCTGTTACTCTGCTGAAGTAATCAATGATGCATATTTGATCAACTGATTGAGATTTCAATATTGTTTTATTTACACAGACATGGATTCAGAATGCACTTTATGCATTTTATTACGCGTTTTATTTATGCGTTTTATTTTAGTATTTTCTTAATAGAAAATAGAAACACTCAAACTCCTTCAGTTTTTTTATAGCTCCTATTTAGCTGTGCTGCATGACAGGGCAGCGTCGACTTCTCTGCTGTGCTTTAGAGGAGAGGATTTGTGATTAACAATAGAGGGCATAACCAAAAAGTTTACATTTAATCCCAACCTACAGGAGTCCTTGGTGCCATATGCCACAGCATACTTTCAGCAATCAAGTGAAGACTGATCAGGTCAGGGTCACTTTGATACAAGATAGGGGATCAGAGACACATGTCAAAGTAAAAATAACCTGAAATCAAACCCAACTCACCTCAAGAAATACTAACGACAGCTTTTGTGAACAATATGAGGAAAATCTTATTCTTTAAATCATACATCTCACTGCTTGTCCAGGTTTCTTAAAAGGTTCAAACAACAAGGTTTTTAAATTTGTTAAAACAGCCTTGGGGGAGATTAGGAGATATTTAGGTCCCCAGCCCAACACACACATACACACAGGCACACAAACAAGATCCCTCATTCCCATATTGGAGAAGCTGCCAATTTATCAGGTTTTTGTCCCGAGTCCAATTTGTTACTCACATGGTCCTGTTCTTTAATCACCATATTTGTTCTACTACCACTTGACAATTAAATTGGTCAAGTTCTTAGAAAGTATGTTTAGTAGCTCAGCTGCACCAGATTAATGATCTTATAGTGAAACTGAAGCAGTGCTGGCAAACCTATTGTAAAAGCATCAAGGGGCGGATAGTGCTGTCTAAATGGACGGGTGCCAAACACTCTCCTCTTCCTGGGTAGACTGCTCCTCCATAAGATAAGTGGAATCTTAAATGGCTAGTGAAAGCTTTGCATCACCTCCTCTCTATATAAAGGCATTCAGAGCCTTTACTAAAGTGGACTGAAATTCATTTCGGCTGAGCCAACAAGCTCCTATTTTGTTTCATTTCTTTCACACTGATGCATTAGCATTCTATTTTTCCACACAACAAAAAGCATTATAGAGTGGATGAATGGGTAGGACCAGAGCAAGTGTACAACGTATACTGTAGGTTTTTCTGCGCTAATATACTCACGGAATGCTTAACAGAGTAATTCATGATGATGTAATCCTTCCCTATCGGCAGCCAGGAACGAAGTGTGATGACGTCCCGGTTCCGGAGAGGTTTGGGACACTTCCCTTTAAGAGCAATAGAGTAAAACAAGCCATTGTGAGCACAATAAGCATTTCATGTGACCACTTCCTCTCACTCACACATGTACATACAAACAATGCTGAGAAGTAAAAGTGCAACGTACATGAGTAGTATCCGACGTCTGCATTCACCGTGAGCTTCCCGATATCAAAGGTCTCGATGACATTTGAGTCCCACTTTTTTCTGTATTCAATGTCATGGAGAACATCGTACATCGTGTCTGCAGCCACATCCTTACATACCATGCGACACTGAAAGAAAGAGAAAAATCATTAGAGACCAATATGAAACCACACAGAGGTGCTGGAGCTAAATAATACTAATCAGTGTCGTTTCACAGTGCCTTGAAATGTTTTTAGAATGTGAATAGAATGTAATATGATTAAAAAACAGAAAGTACTGCATAACAGTAAAGTAAATATGTGTGATGGGTATCGGCTGGCTGTGACCCAGGGGGCACTAGGGAGGGAGGCCTAAGACAAATTAGGAAACAAAAAAAAACATGTGCAAGAAAACTTGCAAAAAAAAAGTTTTTCTTCATCATCATGAAATATAGTTACTAATAACCTATAACTTGTAATAAAAAACATGAGGATTTTAAATCTATGAATCATGAGTCTCTTCCTCTGTATAAGTATAAAAGAAAGGACTATCACATCTTGGCTGATGATAAGTAGAAATAGATCAATTCCTCTGCCAACTGATATTAGCATTTTTTTTTTTATTGTATTGGACATTATGTGCACTTGTAAGCGCATTCAGCAGCCATGCCTTAAGATCATGAGTGCATGCATTGCCAATCCCCTGCATTTGCTAGAAATTGTTAATGTTTTGTATGTTAAAATATATTTTTTTTATTTTTTTAAATAAATTGAGACCTGCATAAAATTTGTTGTTATCATGGCATCATTTTTAATCATGGAAATTTAGGAGAAAAAAACAATATCGGCTGCAAAAACAGCTGCAAAACACTAAAAACACATTTGGGAGATTTTATTTCTTCTGCTCTGATCTTAACATTTTGTTGATAAGTTTGTATTTCAGCAGAAATAGAATCTCTTAATATCCACCTCATTTGGGAAATTCTCGCCTATTTTGCATACCCAAATGGAAAAGCAAAGAACTGTAAGCCCAAATTACATGTGTGATACATTATTTGAAAGCCAACACCTTCTAGTTACATGAAACTTGGGTGAGGAAAACAGCCCAAGCTGCATCAGTTCAAACATGACTCGACATTTGTTTTTTTTATTCTTGAAAATAAAAGGTCTTTTTTGAACAGCAGTAATAAAGACATGCTTGCTTCTTCTGGCTGCTTTGTCATGGTACATTTTGACATGTTGCTAAATCTTCTCAAAACCTGGTGGGTTTTGGCAGGGTAATACAAATTTAAAAACATGCAGGTTAATATTCTTGTTCTAAACAAACATAATCATAATTGAACAGGAATAAGAATATGAAACATTCAAAAAGTTTATTTTTATTTAGATAATTTGTAGCATCGTCTGTTAATTTGCAAATAGGGTCCTCAGCTAGAAGCTAATGCTGTTTAAGGGTTGGATTTGCAGCACGGAAAAGTTTAGGAAGCCCTGCCTTAGATTACCTTCCTCCTGGTGAAACATGTTGGTGGAAGTCTCTTGTTGTGAAAATCTTTTTTCTTTTTTTTTTTTTTTCTCCACAGGGACAGAGAATCTGGGTGGAATTAATCAGAAAAAAAGAGAGGACTATATAGAGGGAGAACATAAAGGGAAAACGATGCAGACACTGTAAAAAGGAGATGAGATTAGGATAGGAGATCCACCTTCCAGCATAGGAACAATAAAGACACAGCTGGAGCTAAACCTAGATTGATTTACTTTATGGGTCAGCAATCTTTACAAACAAAAGACTACTGTATAAAGTTTACCTAAAGCCCTAAAACCTTCATGAGGCTTAAACAAAGCTTATCATCCCTATAAATATCCTTATACATAAGACCTGTTGGTTTAATAGTTAAAGATTAACAATGTTATGGTATTAGCTTATCTGTGGCTATTTTAGTGAATTAAATATTTTTTTATAAAGCATTTAGTATGCAGCCAAATGATAATGGTGAGGAAAAAGAAGAGCCCAGTGGTGTTCTTAGGCCAAATATTTATTCACATATTAAATGAGAAGCAAAACGCAACTTGTTTCAGTGGAGCTGCAGGTTGCAGACCCCTGATCTAGAAGAGGGAACCTAGGATCCACTTTAAAACACCTTCATTCCTAATAATTGTTCAATCAAAATCAGTTGTTTCTATTCAAGAAAATATCATCATAAAAAAAAAAAAAAAAAATTAATACAGGGGCTGTACCAGTTCTACGGGGGCACGGTCCCCTAGTGGCCCCTGTCTAGAAACCCCCATGGAAGGGCCCAGCATACAATTAGTGCCATTCTACTGTGGAAATCCTTTACAAATGATGGATTCAAAAATTAAGAATTCTTAGATGTATTGTTCTACCTTTTTTTTTTTTTCAAGGCTTTGTTCTTTATGAGACATTGTTAAATTTTAAAGAACCTATACAGAAGGCCTAAAGGGCAACATGTTGCTACAGAGTGACAGCCTGCAGAAACCTGGTTTTGATTAAGAGTCAAATCCACATCTAAATCCAAATAATCAGCGATTTTGCTTGAAAACAAACATTCCAACACTTTCCATCCTTATGGTTTAAGCCATTTTGTAAAGAGGAATGCAAAAGATTTCAGTCGCAAAGCCTGTAAAGCTGGGAGATGACTGCTATGACAGATGGTTAATAAACCTGCTGAATCAAACAGGAGCTAAACACAGTTCAGACATTTAAAATAAGGAGCTTTCTACTCCTTTGTGCTAAAATAGCACATAAAAATGTAAAAACTTTGGAGAAGTTATAGTTTTATGAATACTTAGCAGGGAACTGAAAAAGAATGTCAAAATACTCCGCTAAAGTCCACCTTCTTGCTTCAAATGGTTGGCTTTATTACATATATGTTAAGTTATATATCTATAATAACTGGACTGATTTGTTTTCTACAAGAAATACTTCCTATGTCATCATACTGTCTACTAATTTAAGATCTAAAGCTTTGCTCCACTTATAAACACCAAGTCTATTGAATTTACCAACAAAAAACTCAAAGATGAAAATATTACAGCTGATCTTCTACGTAAAGTATGATCAGGATCCCACCGAGAGCCTTTCACAGATAAACAGCTGTTGTCACTGACTTGGACATGTTTAGTGATCAGGTGGTTGGAGTGTGTCAGAAAGAAGGAAACTAGGTGTGAGACTGAAAGCAGAAAGAGAAGCACAACATGAGGAGAGAGACAGGCAGCTGACCATAGATGAGTCATTACTAGACCTGAGCTCAAACAGAAAAACAACACGTTCAACACTAAACAGAAACAGGACATATGTCAGATGGCCTGCTGGAGTCAAACACTGGCAGGAGGTCTGGATGATCTTTTTTTTTTGTCGTTTGAGCCCAGATGTTTCTAACTCCTCGTGCAGTTTGGAAAACAAAGCTGTTTTAGATCTGATCCGGGGATCTCTGCAGCGTGTCATGGTTTACTCCATGTGTTTGTGTCTTCATACAGGTGTGGCCTAGCTTGTTAATAGAACCACGGGGACCTCCTGTTTTTGCTTAACACAGAAAGAGAGAAGCAAAAAAAGGCCTGAAACCCTGGTGTGGCTGTTACTACAGCTACAACTGTCATGGGGATACGTTACAAGATCAACAAGGAAAACAGTGAAACTCAAAGTGAAGGAAATGCACAAAAAATAGTAGAGAGCAATAATGAGAAAAAACTTTTGGAAAAAAGAGGTGTGTAAGAAAGGACAAACAACTGAGAAAGAAATGGACCAAGTCTGTCCCAGAAGATTTAGACTCCTGAAACTAATCAGTGGAGAAGGCGGCCTGCTTTATCCATCTGTCTTCTCCAGTTCCCTGAGGGAATCATTTAGGACAATCATTGTCATTACTGCTTGAGAAACTGTTTCAGTAAAATGGATTTCATATGGCTCTTCAATAAAAATAGGATAAATGTTATAGGCTCCGTTTTGGTCTAATATTACAAACTGGTCTCTAACGATTTTGTAACCTCTAAAGCATTCCCTGAGACATGCATAAACTAAACCTTACAATTAGGATTGCTGACAGCTTCAGAACCTGCTAGAACAATCAATTCCGTAACAAAGGACGATAAAACCTCTAGCATGGTTTGAAAATCTATTAGCACGTTGCATTGAACAGAAAAAAAAACTTTGACGAGATATTAGAATTTGAAATTCACAATTTATACGAATAACTACAAAAGTATGGTTTAGAAGTATTTGGGTTTCAAAATAAGCAAAACAACAAAAAAAAATCATTTCTGCAGCAGCATGTTGGGGCTTTCAGATAGTCAGGAGTTGCACATTTCAGTGGAGATAAATTGCATTTCCATTTCTGGGGTACATGCAATAAGTGGAAGTGTTGCAGGAGATCTACAAAGATTGCTGCGCCAATGTTAAGACGTGCAAACTGATTTGGTTCAGCCTGTTAAAATGTGTGTTCTACAGGCAGTTTGACAGTTGAGGTTCAAAGCTCTAGAGATGGAGATAATAAAAGATAGTTATAATAGAACATATTTATGGATTACTTTAAATTGGTAGACTTTCTTCAGGCAAAACAGTACAAAAATTAAATCATGAGAAAAACTGAAGTTAGATATATAAAAATGAAATATAAAACATGAGCACAGTTGTCTGTCTGTTGATTGGCAAGTCCTCTCCCCTCAGCAAGGTGTGAGAGTCTTAAAACAGTTGGAAATCTATAAATAATAAACCTGCTTTGTTGAATTGTGGGAGAAAAAGTCTCAGCTGCAAGCAGTTGTGCACTTTTCGCGCCAATGTTACTTTGCTTAGACTTGGACAAACTTTATTTTCATTTGTACGCACAGTGTATAAAAACTAAATTCCTTTGCATACAGTTTACAACAGTGAAATGATATTGCATTTGGAGCAAGATAAACATGACCATTTTAAAGTGCAGCAGTGATCAAAATGTAAACAAGGTAGGAGAAAAGGAAACCACTTTAAAAATAATGGTGCAGAAGGGCATTAATATGAAAAGGTTCAGTGCAGCGCAAAATAAATATGGTGCAAAATGCAGTAGAAGATTATGTTGTCCCCATTTAAAAGGATTATAAAAGTTCAGCTATATTGGTGATGCAAAATAATGTTGCATGTTTGATGCAGAGTACAGTTTAGA